AATCTTTTTGTGCAGCAGGCCTCTAGTTTACTTATAAAATCACAGAGGCAGAAAAAGTAATTCCTGGAAGAAATGGGCTTAGGGAACAAGTCCTAGAGGCAAAAGAATGGTCATTGGAGCTTGGGAGTGAGGAAGCCAATGGTAATGTGCCTTAGTGGGGGGCACGGGGAGGGGTGGAGAGAAAGGGAAAGGCTCACACATGCTCCCCAAGGGAGAGCCCTCTGGGTCCTCCACCCTAAGGGTTTTAAGGGTGGAGATTCTAAGGTATGTCCCAGGGGTAAAATCTCAATAAAATACTCATCAACTTTCCACGTGCGTCCTTTCAGGGTTGTGGTCTCCACTGATTGCTTGGTCAGCGCCAGAGCAGGGGGTCATTGTCCAATGCAGCTGGTCCTGAGGTCAGGCAGGGGGTCACTGGTATGGTTTTGCGGCTTTTCTGGGCCTGGAGCTACAATACAATGGAGGCCTAAATGTTATCTCTAGGGAGGAAAGGTCAGGGGGTCCATACCTCATCACCAGCGATATGCTAGGGGAGAAAAGTCAACCTGGGGGCAAGGTCCCACCTTACATTTGTCCTTTGCTAGGCACCCAGGGCTTTCCTCCCTGGTGGCCTCTGTACCTGGCCCATCGTCCTTGCTCTGCTTATGCCTGTCTAGCCCCCTACCACAGGGAGACCCTGGGATGCCTTCTCATCTTTCTTACAGGATCACCTTTCCTGCCCTGCCTTCTTCAGTAGAGCACTCACAGCCAGTGTGCAAATAGTCATTTCTTTCCTGCGTAGGAACTAGAGGGTGTGTACAACTCTGAACTGTTGGGGCAACTCACAAGGGTAGGCTGAGCTCTCAGCGGTTTAATCCATGCTCAGAGCAGCACCCAGGACTGATGTCGTCACCCCATTTCTAACTGGAGGGTCCCTACTAGCTTTAAAGTTCTTAGCAGACAAATGGGCTCTATGGTGTTGTGTAAAGATGTGCAACATTGAAGCTGGAATTTGGGTTTGAATCCTGGACCTTCCTTCCACTTACTAGCTGTGTGACTTGGGTGAGTCAGCTAACATGGGCCTCGATTGCTGCACTTGTGGGACAGGGATAATAATGACGTGAGCTGTATCATAAGGTGGTTGTGAGGGTTCAGTGAGTAAGTGCATACAACTGGGTGTGAATGAATTATGAGACCCTCCCTCCCCTTCAACGCAGTCTAAGAGGAAATGGTTTCTCTCCACCCCCATTCGGTCTCTGTTGGAGCGAGTCCAGGCTGCTTGATAATGAGTCTGGTGAGGTTTCTTTCCCTCTGACTAAATTGAAACTTAGAACATTTTAGACCTGTTGTGTAATCTCTGTCATGCTGGGGAAGGGGTGGGAAGGGCTAATAGAGGCCAATTAAGAAGGATATTAGTTCAAAAAATTAGTCACTCATACTCAGCTGGTGTGCCTCAGTTGTTGCGCGTCAGGCCATGAACCAAGAGGTCACGGTCCAATTTCCGGTCAGGGCACATGCCCAGGTTGTGGGCTTGATCCCCACTAGGGAGGAGGTATTCGATCCATGTTTGTCTCTCATTGATGTTTCTATCTCTCTATCCCTCTCCCTTCCTCTCTCTAAAATCAATAAAAATATTTTTTTAAAAATTAGCCACTCAGATAAAAAATATTTACTAAAAGTTTTTTTAAAAGATATTTCTGAGAGAATTGGGAATAGAAACCCTAAGTGGATATTTGATATTAAAAGGTTATTGTTGCCCTAGCTCCATGGTCGGCAAACCGTGGCTCATGAGCTGCGGTTTGCCAAGCCGCAGTTTGCCGACCACTGTCCTAGCTGGTTTGGCTCAGTGGCTAGAGCGGCGGTCTGTGGACTGAAGGGGCCTGGGGTTGATTTTGGTCAATGGCACATGCTCGGGGTTTGGGCTTGATCCCCAGGTGGGGGCGTGCAGAAGGCAGCCGATCTATGATTCTCTCTCATTATTGATGTTTCTATCTCTCCCTCTCCCGTCCTCTCTGAAATTAATAAAAATATATTAAAAAAAGATTACTGTTAATTTTTAAGTATTGCTAAGTTAAAAAGGAGTTTTTGTCATATATATGTATGCATGTATTTCTTGATAGAACGATCTGATGTCTTGGACTTGGTTAAAAGTAATCGAGTGAGTGGGGTGGGGATGAGATTATTGAAGCAAGATTGACGATATATTGATACTTTTTGAAATTATGTGACGAGTCCATGGGCCTCCATTATACTATTTATTTTTTAATATGCTTGAAAATGTCTATAATAAAAACTCAAATATTAAAAAACACACCACTGTTTTAAAGGCAGTTCAGGGACTGTTTCTCATCTCCCTGGCATGGTTGGGGAGGGAGGTGGAGGTGAAATTGGGGAAATTGGTTTTCTCGCACTCCACACCCACTGCCCATTGTGCTTCTCGGACCTGGTCTGTGGGTGTCAGGAGGCTCTGAGACGCCACCCCCTCCTGCACTGCTGCCCCAGAGTGAGGGGCCTCGAGGTCCAGTTGGGTGCAGGAGGTCTCTGCCTGACCATCCTGTCCAGCCCCAGACTATCCTCTATGCAAAACCTCATCAGTCTCTGTCAAAGATTTAGAGTCGTCAGGCTCAAAGGCCTTCATAATTAATTATCAGGCAGTGTGATAACAACTACTTGCCAGCAAACAGCACTACTCTGAGGGGTGGGGGGGGAGCAGTGGGAAGGGCAGGGATGGTGAGAAAAATACCTCTCCAGCCAGACACCACCCTGATGATTAATCTGAGAGGGAGTGAAGAGGAGAGGTGAAGCGAGTGAAGATGAAACGCACAGGGCCTGCCTGGGTCCCTTCCCTTGTTGGTGCTGCCCTGGAATTGGACAGGGTTCTTCCTCTTCCGTAACCATGGCACCCTCCACATCTCCCTTTCCCATAGCACCCCAGAGTGGACATTTGTAGGTAGAGCACATCAGACTTTTGGGTACTTGCATTTCAGGGCTTGCCTGTATCTGAAGTTCATCTGCCTTTCTTTCCCCTGTTTCTCATTCTCTCCCCCTGGAGAGGTGGATCCTAGCCCGTGCTTTGCTCTGTGCTCTGCATGTGGGAGGAGCGTAATTCCCGTGGGGTAGAGTGCAGGTGACAGACCCATGGTAAGAGAAGGCCAAGGGATGCCTGGGGCAGTAGTGGCAAATTATGTCTGTCTGTCTCTTCTACTATGGCAGAGAACATGCCTGTTTCCTCCATTGAGTATCTAGACTAGGGATTGGCACAGAGTGGCATTCAGTAAATATTGGTTGAGCCTGGCCAGCATGGCTCAATGGTTGAGCATTGACCTATGAACCAGGAGGTCACGGTTTGATTCCCGGTCAGGGCACATGCCCGTGTTGTGGGCTCTATCTCAAGTGTGGGGAGTGCAGGAGGCAGCCGATCAATGATTCTCTCCCATCATTGATGTTTTTCTCGTGCTCCCTCTCCCTTCCTCTCTCTTTAAAATCAATAAAAATATATTTAAAAATATTGGTTGAATGAATGATTATATAATCCAAAGTTAAACTTGGAGGGCCAATTTCACAAGAAGTTAGGAAGATAGATTTAAACTATAAATTATTTGTTATTTATATTTAACTTATGCTGACATACCACAAATATATTTTAATATATACACAATATTCATTCATATATGAATGTATGCGTTATACTGCGTACAGTATATCATTAAGAGTTCATTATGACAGGGAAGACTCCTTCATTATTTTTTGGAATTAGTAGAGCCATCCTTACAAATGCTAAGGAGGGAAAAACACCTACTATGTGATAGCAGAGTTTAAGAAGAGAATCCAGTGGCTTCTGAAATCTACAATTTAGATAACTCCTTTTATCCATGAGAGAATGGGATGCTCACAAATTATGTCTGAGACAGGTATTCCCATGTTCACTGATTCTTAAGAAAACACTAGACAAAAATATCAGGAATACTGGAAGTTATTCGTGACATATTTTTTTTTTTTTAACTGAGATGCTGAAACCCCTCAACAGAGCACTGGGTCCTCTAGCTTCAGGGTAAATATTAATATTATGGTTCAGTTGTGGGGAAGGACATATGGGATTTGTTCTTTCCCTTCATCAGCCTTTAGGATTAGCCATGAGGACATAGAGAAAAGGTAGTAGCTTTATCTAATATAGTTAGGTCACGGGCAAAACCTTGGCTGAACATACAAAATTTTTTTCTGAATCTCTCTTGGTCCTCTGTGCCTGGGTTTGTTAGGACACTCACCCTCTGCCTCTAATTTGCTTTTACACAGCATCAAAATGACCTCTGCTCCTAGTGGTTGCCGCAATAACCTGGATGCCAAGTACCACAGACTTTGTGATATGTCTGAAGCTTGGGGCATCGTCCTGGAAACTGTGGCTGCCGTGGGGGCTGTGACCTCAGTGGCCTTCATGCTCGCTCTCCTGGCCCTCATCTGCAAGGTGCAGGACTCCAACAGGCGGAAGGTGCTCCCGGTCCAGTTCCTCTTCCTTGTGGGTGTGCTGGGGGTCTTCGGCCTGACCTTTGCCTTCATCATCAAACTGGACAGCCTCACGGGGCCCACACGCTTCTTCCTCTTCGGCGTCCTCTTCTCCCTCTGCTTCTCCTGCCTCCTGGCTCATGCTTTCAACTTGACGAAGCTGGTCCGCGGCTGGAAGCCCCTCTCCCTGCTGGTGATGCTGGGCCTGGCTGTGGGCGTCAGCCTGGTGCAGGACATCATCGCTATTGAGTATGTCGTCCTCACCATGAACAGGACCAATACTGACATCTTCGCTGAGCTTCCTCCTTCTCGGCGCAATGAAGACTTCGTCATGCTGCTCATCTTCGTCCTCTTCTTGATGGCACTGACCTTCCTCACATCCTGCTTCACCTTCTGCGGCCCCTTCACGGGCTGGAAGAGACACGGAGCCCACATCTATCTCACCACGCTCCTCTCCATGGCCATCTGGGTGGCATGGATCACCTTGCTCTTGATCACCCCTACCCCTGACACCATTTGGGATGATACCATCCTCAGCGCAGCCTTGGTGGCCAATGGCTGGATTTTCCTGTTGGCTTATGTTGTACCTGAGTTTCAGCGGCTCACAAAGCAACAGAACCCCATGGACTACCCTGTTGAGGATGCTTTTTGTAAACCTCAATTCATGAAGCAGAGCTATGGCGTGGAGAACAGAGCCTACACTCAAGAGGAAATCACTCAAGGTACAGAGCCGGGCTGGGTGGAGAGTCTTTGTAGAGAGATGGGGGAGAATCACAGGGTATTCTATCTGTACGGAACATGCAGGTTTATCCAGCTCATGCCCCTGACAGAACAGATAAGGTCCCCAAGGCTCATGCTTGAAACCATCCAGCTAGTTAACAAGTGGATTAGAAGCTGCCTTTGCAGCTGTAGTCCAGCACTTTCCACACAGTTCATGTAGGTTTCTCTGAATAAAAATAGGATGAAGCAAAGGAATAGAAAAGGAATGACTTGAAACATTCTTAGCGACAAGCAGGTGAGATTGTGTTCTTTATAAAAGATAACTCAGCACCCCTTCTGGAAATGTGAGACCTTCATATATTTGGGTGTGTAAAGCCAAGCCATGATTTCTTGCAGTGACCACAGGGCACAGAGAGGTTAGAAAGCCCTTTTATCAGAAACCAGTGGAAATCTCCATAAAGTTACTAAGGATTCCAATTTAACCTGAAGAGCTACATTTTATTGTATGTGTCTAGGCCCACGGGAGGGAAGTCATCTTAACATGAAAGAATGAACCGATCTTGCTCATGCCTGGTGTTGTGAGTAGCCAGGTGTTCTGTTGTTGTTCTCGTAACATAAAGAGGCTCAACTGATATCCAGGCACTGCCCTTGCCCGTCAGGATCTGTGTGTTGCTCTCCAGGGTTTACATCGATCTCTGGACCTAATCAGGGGAGAGGAATGAGTTTGGGAGAGGAGTGAGGGGCCCCCAAGGCCCAGTTCTTAGCTGCTGCTTACAATTTCTCTGCTCCTGAAGCCTGAGGTGCGAAGCTTTCTGGAGCTTCTCCCTGCAGCGGGGGGCCCTCTCCTGGGTACTCAGAAGCCTCCCAGAGAGAAAATTCAATGGATAGGGTGTCTATCCTGCTTTGGTAGATGACTCAACTGGGGTGAGCACGAGTGGGTGCCTGAGGAAGGGGACCCTAATGCTTTAATTTCTCCTCTCCCTCTGTTTCAGGTCTTGAAGAGCTAGGTGATACTACCTATGCCCCTTATACCACCCATTTCCAGCTGCAGGTAAGTGATCTCTTCCTTTTCATCAGCAGCCTCAGCACCCCAGGAATGTGTCCCTTGGGAATAGATGGTGTTACCATATGGATGGCTCCTAAATGGCCACCTTAAAAGGATGACATGTCTACGTTGCTCTCATCCACCTTCTGGGGTTAGGGCAGACAACTGGAGTGTAGGGCACAGGGAGGACTTTAGGGGGAGGGGTTAGGAGAAAGGGAAGAAAGTGAGATTCCTGTCCACTTTGAAGGTCTGTTGAAATATCCGGGAATGGGAGAGGGTTTAACAATATGGTGCTTGCTTTTCAGAATCGGACCTCCCAAAAGGATTTCTCCATTCCACGGGCCCAGACTCGGGTTAGCCCTTACAATGACTATGAAGGAAGGAAAAACGGCAGTT